AGCAGATCCTGCATCAAACTGGGAAATACAGTAAAATCTCATTGCAGCAAATACCATTACAGTACAACACATTTTGCAGAAATTCATGCACTGTAATGTAAATTGTTTCCTTTTCATGAAAAATGCTTCCATCAGGAAATTATTATGCAACTTATAACTTTAAAAAATGAAAAACTCGGTTAACAAAGTGTCTCTTGCTGAATAATTTCTTGAAGTTAAATATTTTTAGCTTCAGCTGAGATTCATTCATGTGAAATGTATTCTCAATACTGCATGTATATGCTTTTGTCCCAATTTTGAGATTATTATGAGATGAAATGCATTGACAGGAATAACTAAATTGAGACATCAATGTTCATCATCACATTGTTTCTGTTTTAAAAATTCTACTGCAGCCCAGGAAGTAATTTACTATACCTGCTGCATCACAATGAAATAGCATACCCCACATATAGCATACCCTCAGCACAGAATATATTTAAGGTGTACATGAAACATGAAAGGGTCACCCATACTACCTGTTATGGGCACTGATGGGGACTTTTTCTATGGGTCTGTGTATAGGTCTTTAACCATCATACAGACATGCAGACACTGCTGATGGATAGCAGCAGCACACTGGTGTCTGTAACTGGTAAACACCAAACTTAGCAGTTATTGATGTTGCTGTTTAAGTGAGTGGGAATTTTTAAAGTTTCATTTTTGGTTTTTCTGGAACTGCATGGTACTCCCAAGTTTATCACCAACATGCTGGCACTTGATTAACAGGAGGCTTTAGAAAAATTTACTGAGGTGGATATTGTTGTTTGGAACAATGAAATAATTTTAAAACCTGAGAAAACTCGCAAATTTTTTGAAATAGGCTTCAGCTATAGCAGAGCATAATAGTGTCTATACACTGCATTACCAGGTATTGGTGCATTATGGTACATATTATGCACAGTTCTACAGTAATACGTTATATATGCCGTGTAAATGATGCAGCCTTCACCCATCTGCTATTATTGAATGTTAACGATTGTGGAGTGATGTGTAAATTAATAAATTTCCCCAAAAGTGTAGGACTTTTCAGAAATTCCCTCACACTTGTTGACTCAGAAAAGTCAGAACACTGTGTTTAGTTGTCGTGGGTTCGGCTGGCTCTGCTGCAAGATGGCCGCGCCTTTGGTGTGCCGCAATTCGTGATCCCGCCCGGAGGAAGTTCCGTGAGGAACTGAGTGTTTTGTGGGATTTCTTTCCCTGCGAAGTGACATAGCCGTGAATAGGGTCGCTTCTACCGTGGGTGATCGAGAAAACGAAGTCTCCGTTTCACTCGTTCTTTTTGCGTCGAGAGCAACGTTGGAAACATTGTACTCCGTGGTGCACGTTCTCACCTTGATTGAAGACATCGGCTGATTTGGTTTATTCAGACCTTCTGATATCCGTGTTTACATCAATCTGCGCGTCCCAATTGCATGTGATCTTATTCTCACTCGTGCAGTGAGAAGTTCGAAAGATGGTTTAAGCCGGGTGATTCCCCTCCTGGTGTAAAGTGCAATTCACGTCTGTGCTAGGATTGTGTTCTGAACGCACCCTTCTGTGGATTGCTAACTTTTCAAAAGTACTTTACTTCATCTCATGTGATCATCAGTTGGGAAGTGGAGCGTCAGCTTGTTTTGCAATTTTGCCGAGTGCGGCTGGTTCCAAACTCGCGCGTAAATGGAACGCTCGATTATAAAGTTACTTCTACGATTTCAGGACTGACGAAGAATGAGCCTTGTTTAACGAGTGTGGATTCTTCTGTTGAAAATGGCAGCAGATCCTTCGGGCAGCAAAACCTGGGAGCTTTCGCTGTATGAATTGCATCGCACTCCTCAAGAAGCTGTCACGGACAACACGGAAATCGCCGTGTCTCCGAGATGTCTTCACAACGAGCTGATGTGTCCAATATGCCTTGAGCTGCTCAAGAGCACAATGACTACCAAGGAATGTCTGCATAGGTTTTGTCAAGAGTGCATCATCACTGCGCTGCGTTCAGGAAACAAGGAATGCCCGACTTGTCGCAAAAAGCTCGTATCCAAACGTTCTCTTCGCCCGGATCCCAATTTCGATGATCTTATTGCGAAGATTTATCCCAGTCGTGACGAATACGAAGCTCAGCAAGAGAAAGTCCTGGCAACGTTGAGCAAAAGCTGCAGTCAAGCCGCGCTCGTCAGTTCCATCGAAGAAGGAATGAAGCTCCAGGCACAAAATAAACCTCAGCGTTCCAGAAAGACCAATCCGACTCAAGGACCCGATGA